TGGGTACAGACCTACCACTCGTAGTTGACTACTAATGTCAAGCACCATGTTATTATTGCCAGAGAAGACATAATAATGTGATAAAAATTAAACTTTTAAAGTAACAAAAAACCCCACAAAATTCATGGATAAAATAAAATTATGCTCCCTTACTAGACGAAGAATAGGATTTTAAAATATATTTTATTTGTTCCTTGATATTATTGTAAGTACTTGTCCTCAGTGACTGGAACTGTCTCAGATCTAGCCTCTGTATAATAAGCTAAAAAAACAGCTTGAAAATAAGTGAGTAGAGAAAAATTTGGTATTTATTTTATGTGATACCTGTAACTGTTGATGAAATTGTTGACCTAAAACTAAACACCTCTATGTAAATATTCCATTTTAGAAGTATTGGTTTCACCTAACATTTCAGATGTTTATGCATCTAAACATTTAAATAAGTTCTATAGGAAGTTTAGACTTAAAAAAAGAATACCTACCTCAATAAAGAGTACTGGAATTATGTGTGTTTGTCTACACAAAACACTTTTTTATGTTGTCAATATTTTTGTGAAGTTGAGCACTATTCAGCAGTGGGATGCCTGTACAGGACTGGAGGCTAACAGAGTTTACCTAATAGCAATTGGAAGACATCACTTAAACCCAAACTTTTAACTTACTTGCCATCAGACAGAGACATACTTCAATTTTATGAATTCCACATATATTTTGATTTTTATTATTAAATGCTGCTAATGATCAGCATTTTATACCTCAAAGTAGAAATAAAAATTGTTCATACCCCAGAAATACCTCCTGTATGAAACTTCTGTTTCACAAAGATTTATGGGGTTTATTCTGCTTTATCTTGTAAACCTTACCACTTGTATGTGCACTACTTGTGTAAGGTTTATTTTGTCAAGTTAGAAATTCAGCAACAAGCTAGCATGATTACTTTTTTATTTAATGTTTTTTTCTGTTCAAAGATAAATATTTTCTCCTTGAACTTCCTTTCTTCACTGTGTACAGAAGAGAAACTCAGGTACCTTTTTGTTCATATGAGTTTTATTGCCTGTACTGTTATTTTGTCTGTATTTCATGATCTTTGAGCTTTCAACCTTTACCCTGTTGCAAATCAAGTTTCCGCTAGCACAAGCAGCTCCTGAAGCAGCCACTTTGGCTATAGTCAACCTACCTGGGTTTCCTGAGGATGTTCACCCTGTGGTTTCACAGATTCTGAAACAGGAAGCAATTTAGCGCATTCTATTCACTGGAAGGGTCAAATGCCCTCTGCTTAGAAAAAGACAACTGACCTAACAAGCATTACCAGGTGGAAATAACTTCTTGTGTTTGCTGCTCAGTTACTTTATTGTCTTTCTTACATAGTTAAACATGTTGTCTTTTTTCTTCTGGTGCTTTACATTTTTCACAGCACTACTCCATTCAATAGATATATTACATAAACACAGTGGAAATTTTTATTTAATATCTATAAACAATTTACATTTAACTATGTATGGACAGATCTGCATAAAGCAGTAATTCTCTCATTCTCTCCACATTGGGGAAAAGAAGCTGTGCAAATTAGGTGTGCAATTCCAATTGACAAGCTTAGTTACTCTTTAACCTATACGAATGATGACAAGATACTTAACTTTGAAAATAAGAACAGTTGTTTCAAAGCTATTTTTTTCTTTATTACTGCTGTGGGACTGAATACAAAGATTGAGGGTTTTTCCAGAAGCACAAAAGATTGAGGTTTTTCCAGTACATTTTCCCTCTTCTAGATGCAGGAACAGGACTTGGAGAGGTTTGTAACTATTGCTTCATCACTATATTTTCAGTGAATAAATACTGCTCATCGATAAAACCTCAGGCAGACAGTCAATAATGGTTGAATATTAGGTAAGGCTACAATGAATGTCTGGATAAATTTATAGGTGGAAGGAAAAGACAACAGAAAACTCTGAAGGCTAAAGAGAATATTTAAGCATTCTGTAGGAATTAGAGCCAAGTTGTTCACTGGATAGCAGATATCTTCTTACCCCTTTGGGAAACCTAAGAGTTATGTGGGATTTTATTATTGGAAATGCTAAAGAACAGTTATGTCAGCAGCATTATCTTGTCCTAAAGAGTTTTGCTTAGTTCTATATATAATTTTATTTAGTCTCATTGAAAAGCAAAGTAGATTTTTTTTGCTGGACATTCATAATGAGTAATATCTTGTACCAGAGGAACTTTTCTTTAAAACTTCCAAATGTTACACATGGTACCATAGAGCTAGATACATGTGCCAAGCCATGCTTTAACAGATTATGAACCTGGTAAATATAAACGTAGAGTAACAACAGAAGTCATCCTCTGAGGTGGTTTCAGGTGACATAGAACCCCTTTTTCCTATTTCTGTGGTTTGGATTGAATTTTTTTTTCCTTTAATTGTAGTACTGGACATATTTTAATTTTTTTTGTGACACTTAACAGGCATATTATCTATTTCTTTGTAGACCTGAGTGCAAGTCAGACGACTAAAGGAAAAAAAAAAAAATTCTGAACTTAACATATTTGAAAATCTAGGCAAGAAAGAGAATTTTTCATTTATCATTTTTCATTAACCTGTGTTACAAGGTTACACTTGAGAGTTTTATTATCACACTGGATTTTTCTCCCTCTCCTTATGGGTTCACAGCCATTTAATTTGTCTGCCAAGTCTATTGGAGAATCTTTATTTATCCTCTGTCTGCGATAGGTACCAAATGTAACATTGCTAGAGCTCATTTATATTTTTCCTGGAAAGTTAGAAGCATAACAAATCTACTGCAGTCTTTCAATCCACCTCTGAAATGTTTTCAGAAACTTCTCATTGCTCACCTGTTTTGACTTCCTTTGCAGCCAGTTCTGGACAGCAGAATATGAATTAGTGTTGTTTTGTGCCTGAGCAGCCTCCTTGACTGCTGCTCTTTGCAGTTCCTTCAGGAAGGTGTGAATGACTTGTGTAAGAGTGTTTTCAAGTGTAGAAAGGTCCTGGAGTCTGCTTGTACATCAGCACTAAGATAAAATGTTAATTTAGGTCCTGTAAAATGTATAACTTAAACATGTGTTGTAGGTGTCTTTATAATTCTTTAGTTCATTAAAAATTATTGTGACACTTGACTCATAGGCACAGGATCCCTAAGATCCCAGATACCATTCCTGAGAATACTGGGAAAAAAGGATATAAACTCACTTTTTTTTTTTATAGGAAAAGAGTGTGTTAAATCTGAACATTCCCTGAACCTACATAATTGGAATACTCATATAAATTAGTCATTAACTATTGATGTCTTAACAGATATATAGAAATGGAGCCCTATTCATTACCATTTTCTGCTTACATAATACTTAGGGTACTTATGGAGTCTCTTGGCAGTGGGAAAGCCTAGAGAGAAAGATAGAAGATAACTGTTGTGTAAAAAGGAAGGTATTTCCAACATTTGGAAAGGGCCACTGAAGAATATGGTGAGGTGGCTTTTTTGTTTTGCAGATCATTATCAATGATTATCAATAAGGTTTTTCTGTACTTCCTTTTTAGTTGGGCCTAGAGGCTATTCAGTGAAAGGTATTCATGTTCATTTTCTTGAATATGAGGGATTATTTTTCAAAGATAGAAGAAGAGTTATCTACCATAAAGACTAGTTTAGGAAACACAGAAATGGCCATATTCCAGCACAGAAAAGGCAGAGCCAAGGTGGAGCTGGAGATGAACTTAGCAAGGGATGCAAAGAATAACAAGAAGTGCTTCTACAGGTATGTCAGCCAGGAAGGGAAGGTTAAAGAAAGCAGTACCCCTCTGATGAGCAAGGCTTGGCAGACCGGTAGCAAATGAGAATGAGATGCTCAGCAGTGTTTTTACCTGTCTTCTATGGCAGCTTCTCTTTCCACACCTCTTTAGTGGATGGACTGCAAGATGGGGACAGGGGGAAAGTGAAGAGGGACCTTGAAAAACTTGGTAGGGGAGTCCAAGGTAACCACATGAAATTCAACAAAGCCAAGAGCAAGAGCCAATCCCCAGTATCAGCACAGTCTGGGGGATGAATAGATGAAGAGCAGCCCTGCCAAGAAGGTCTTGAGGGTGCTGGTGGATGAGAGGCTGGCCATGAGCTGGCAGCACGTGCTCACATCCCAGAGAGCCAAATGAGTCCTGGACTGCATCAAAAGCAGTGGGGCAAGGGAGGGCATTCTGCCCCTCTGCTTCACTCTCATGACCACCCAGCCAAAGAGCTGTGTCCAGCTGTGGGGTCCAGAGCTCAGGAAGGACATTGACCTGTAAGAGCAGGCCCAGAAGAGTGCTGCAAAGCTGATTAGAGGGAAGGAGAACTTCTCCAAAGCGGAGAGAATTGGACTGTTCAACCTGGACAAGAGAAGATTCCAAGAGAGACCTTATTGCAGCCTTTCAGTACTTGAAGAAGGCCTAGAAGATAGCTGCTGAGGGACTTCTTTGCAATAGCATATAGTAACAGGACAAGAAATAATGGTTTTAAATGATTTAGGGTAGGTTTGGATTAGATACTTAGAAGAAATTCTTTTGTATGAGAGTGAGGAGGCACTGGAACAGGTTGATCAGAAAAGTTGTGGAAACATTCAGGGCCAGGTTGGATAGAGATTCGAGCAATCTGGTCTAGAGGAAATTGTTCCTTGGAGCAGGATTATCTTTAAGATCCCCTCCAAATCAGACCACTCAGTGATTCTATTATAAAAATTATTAATTTGCTAGAGGTATCATTTCAGAGTCTGTCCACAAAATGATGATGTTTGCTTGACAAAAGAAGTTATTTGGTTTGTCATTTATCTTTCTCTCCTTTTTCTTCCTTCCCCCTGCTTTGTGTTGTTGAAAGGTAGCAATATATTACACAATTTTCTGGTATAATGATGGTACTCTGAATCAATAAATGAATCCTCATGTTGCACAAAGGATACTGAGCAATTTTATTTCATAATAGGATGCAGAAAGTGACCATACTTTGCATTTCCTGCCCTTGCAGTGGTTTTTGGCTTTCAAAGCTCCATCAATATAAAGAAAGTAAGAGTCAAGTGAGATACAAGAAGCAGTGAAGAGACATGAAAACTAACGATAAGGTAGGAAGCAGACAGATCTATACCAAAGTTCAGGTTACAGTCATACCTCTGTCTCCATGTATGTTGTCACACCACCCCCAAATTCTGCATATTGAAGAAGCTATTAACATCTGAGAGACAGGTGCTTTATCTGAAGAAAAGACCTCCATTGAGCAATTAAATGCATTACCACATTGCATTTAATTAACTAGCAAAACACCCTGAAGTAAAATAGAATTAAACCTAATTCTAAAGCTTCCTTAAGCTAAGGAAGGTGGAGAATTTCAGACTTAATTTGCCAAACGGTATTTCACTATTTCAAAGGTAATGTGAAGTTCTTACATAAAATCAGTTATGGCCAACTTGGTCTTTTATATTGTAAAGTTCTTGAATGTGTCTATGCCTTAAGCAGAATTTCTTTTCTTTTAACATGTAAATTGACATAATTTACAAAAATTTTGTACAGCAACTCCATGTTGGCTGAGACTAATTATGTAAAATACCCTGGCAGCAACAAACAGACTCAGTGATTTGATCTCTAGTTGGACGGGTGAGATAAGTTGTGAAGTTCTTGCTCTTCCTTTACTCTTGGAAAATCCTAACAAAGATGTAGGAAGTTGCTTTGGAGTGCAGAAGGATGTTTTTACTTACCTTCTGTCTTCAGGTAATTTTTTTTTTGTGTGTGTAGTACATATCACAATCTATCACTCATTTTCTATTACAGAAGCAAAACACTGCCTCTTTTTGGAATAAAGTCAGCACCAGCTGTATGTTCATAACTGACAGGACACATTGAAAAGACAGAGTTTCCATTCTGAACTTCTCGATTTTTGTTTACATAGACTGTTACCAGTCCATATAAATATACCAGATATTTACATTTTAAGCATAGAATGGGTCTAAAATGTTGTCTTTTTCATTTCTTTTATAGTAGCCAAATGATATGTAAACTTTTTCCATTGACATCATAATGGCTGAGAACTCAAAGGGTGTGTAGTGATAGGAATATTTACAGTATGAATTCAAGTTTTATTTTTTTTTTAAATAGATTACAAATGCAACAACCTCTGATTCCTTTCCATTATAACATCTCAAATATTGTCTTCTCAAAAAGAACATACCTCCTATTTGTGTACTACTTTATTTTAAATCCCATGTGCACCTATTGCTGACCTTCATTTGAATGTAGGGAGCTATAAATACTTGTATGTGGAAAAAAGCTACTGTCATTACACCTGATTTTGAACTTTCATTTCTGCAGTTAGATGATGCTTGCACAAACAATAAGATAATATGGTGTAAATGTAAAATTGTTAGGTGAGTTGGCATTTCCCTTCATGGAAGAGCTTACGCTTGTATAACTACAGTGTTCTTTCATTATTATTCTCAAAACCTGACTGTAGAATATTGATCTTAATATTGGAATTAGTACTATTTTATATTTCTAGCTGTGGTATCTTCACTCACATTCTACCCAGTTGCCTTTAATCTGTGGGACAGAGGATGAGTTGTGTGCAAAGATGAAATATTTGAGGTAGTTTATTACAGAAACCAGAAAATTCTGAAGAAATATTAGGGCTTCTGTACATAAAATCTTAATGCCCAAAGAGAGAGGTGTCTGCACAAGGCAAGAAGTAATGTGGTTAGTTTGACCATCAAGAACGACAATCTTGCTATAGGGGACAGTTAAGAAGTGGAGTAGTTTGCCTGGGGAGACTGTGGATTCTCTGTTACTGGAGGTTTTTAAAAGCTGGTTAGATAAATATTTTGGGTATGGGGTTTTTGCCACTTGTTACTTGGAACACAGGATGGACTAGACAGCCTCCTGAGGTGTGTTCCAGCTCTTTTTTCTTTTTTTGGTTTCTTCTATAAAGGTTCCAGGACAGACTACATGAAAATCATTACTAAAAATCTATTAAAGCAATTACAATCACTTTACCCAGCAAACCATCTCTTTTAATTTTTTTCAGAGATGGTTTGGTTTATTGTTGCCTGATAGGTTTTATTAGATTGATCCTTGTCATTTATCATTCACCATCTGGTCTTTCCTAAGTGTTTATATATTGATTCCTTTGTTACTTAAATCTGACCGGGTAAGAAAAGGAAGCAGACATCTTCTGTTCAGAGAAAACAAGAAAAGTTAACCAACACCTGTAGCATGGTCCCTGCAATTCTTACCGTGTTTTTATGTTGATAAATCTACCAGCATTTTCAGTAGTTTAGTCAGTGCTGCTTTGCTGTCCTGAGTAATCCCTTAAGTCTCACCCTACAGCAGCCTCGTGCCATGCAGTTGGCATTAGATACCCTTGACAGGATTTACATCACCTCCACCACCCCTGGGAGGAAGTGCTTTCTTTAAGCTGCACTTGAGGCCCTTACAATATCACAAGTTTTAGTCCTTCTCAGATGGACATATGTCACACAGACATTTGTTCTCTCCAGCATTATTATGAAAGTCTTGAACTCAGAAGTATTATATTGTAGAGTAACCCCATGGAAACTGGAAAGGAAAAAAAAAGACAACAGTTTTTCTCAGCTACCTATAAGAACTTGAAAATAGAAGAAAATTCTCAACTGAAATCAGCTTTAGATTTTTTAAACCATGCATGCAAAAAACATTTATTAAAAATCTTTCATACCATCAAATATTTATACATGGAGACTGTGATAAGCATTTTACACTAAAAATGGTCAAAGCAATTTCTGTTCTGGAAAAGAAAACATTAATTTAAAAGACAATAGAACAAAAACTTATGAGAATTTTAAGACATTTTTTATTTTGGCATTCTTTATTATTCTTGTCTCTTACAGGTTGTGTATCCATCCTCTAAGACTGACATTTTCAGTCCTGAAACATAGAGTTAAGTGATTCTCCAACTACAAAATCAGATGTGTACTAAGTTTTTGCCTGAGCTAGGCATTCCTTGTATCATGTTTACAGTAGCAGTATATAATTGAACTAATAATATTTGCATTAGCAATAAAATTTCAGTAGCTGAGATTTTATTTTTGCAAGATGGGGCAACTTTAGAAGCCCTCATTTCCATAGGACAATAAAGTACCTGAAAACTGAGCTCATCCTGTTACAGATCCTGAAAAGAATTAAAGAAATTCCTGTGGATTTGTCATATACAATTAGTGAGTCCTATTTCCTTAAACAGGCATTTTGCAGGTGTTTGATTGTTCTAATACAACATAACCTTCTAGGAAAACTTGTTCTTCCGAATTGAATGACTGAAAGTTCAAATGTTAACAAATAAAGGAGCTTTGCTTTAAAAATTACTGTGGCATGTTTCTTACCATTAATTACTATTATCTATTCAGAAATCCACTCCACTCCATTTACTTGTGTGCCAAAACATTGCATATTTTCTGAAGGCTTTCCTTTGGAATAACTGATGTAAAGCAGGAAAATGGGAATATTGAGAGCAGAGACTTGGAAATTTGCAATGAAGTGTATTGACATGGTATAAGGTGTAGTGATACTAGTTTTCAGCATGGAGACACACTTGGGATAAGAATATATAGGTTTACAGCAGCTGTGCTTTTTTCATGATACCACATTATCGTTGCAATGGAACTGCATTCACTTTCTTCTGCATATCCACAACAATTGACTATGGCCATGTCCAGTGAAAGAGAGGGTCATAAGGCTTTGAAGCCAGTTTGAGGGAGTGCATCTTGACATGATCAAACCCTTCTGGTGCCTCAGACCCTGAGATTAGCTGAAGACTTCTCAAAGCTGCCTGACATCCCTTCATTTTAGCTCTGTTCTTCAGGGGAACAGCAGCAAATTTGACTCTTAAAACCACTTCTGTCACAGTGTGCATCTTCACAGTGAAACAGTAAGAACCTTCTTGTTGTGACTGGTTTATATGAATTGTTAAGAATTGCTGGAAGAATGTTAATGATATGACACAAGCCAAGATAGCTGAATATTCACAACCAATGCTTATGCTCTCCTCTTTGGCTTATGTTTCTTTCCTAGATTTTATGGGTAAGGGAACAAATCACACTTAAGCACGGTGTGAGACTTAAATAGGTAACCTTTCATGCCAAATTGCTAACCTACTGTTAATATTAAATATTTCCAGGGAAATATACCTTCCATTCCAACTAAAGTTAAAACAAGCATCTCTCCACCTTCATCTACATAATACCACAAATTTAAAATTCACTTCTGGAGACAACTTTTACTCGAATTATTTCACATTGTTTTATGTTTGATATTAGGGTAAATTCCTATATATATACATAACAATAATATATAATATTATGTTATATATAATAATATATGATCAATAATATAATATTATATATAGTATAATATATATACTATATAGTATCTAATAGCATATATACTATTATAGCTTATAATATATAATATATATAGTATATTATATATATAATATATATGTATATGTATATATACATAGATATATAGATAAAAAATTATAATATAATTCCTATATATAAGGATGCAAAAAAGTGGGATTTAATGTGATCAAACCTTTCTGAAATTAACGCAATTATTTCCACAAAGTTAATGCAGATTTACATAGAGATATAAAGGACAGATCAAATAAACAACCTGGTTACTTAAAGTAAGTGTAGGTAGATTTGTTGCCAAAGTTGAAGATTCCTACTTCCCTGCTCTGTTTGTTTAGAGGAAGTCAATAGAATAGGCATAATCTTTCCTTCTTCTCTTGAAGTTACCTGTCAATTTAGGTATAGGTAAATGTGTTGAATTGAATGAATAGAGCAGCTGAACAGTGACTCCAACAAAGCTTAATTTGTCCATCAACTATATTTTCCTGCCAAAGTAGCAATGTGCAACCAGTTCAGTGAGCCTTCTTAAGGCTAAAACAAACTACAGTAGTCTGAAGTGTACCATCTTTCATGTATTTGAAGGCCCTTCTTGTCTACAGTGCACTGAATTGCACTATTTTTTGAGCACTGTACTCTTTTAGAGAATTAGATTTGATATGGATGGGGATTAGATTGTTTCCACAAACAAAATAGCAAAATTTTCCATTTGTCTGTGTATTTAGTGGCTACAATGAAATTTTATTTATCCAACAATGGACACTATTTCGGTATGCAGTATCTATACGTGGAAGTAAACTATTTGCTTCATGTGCATTATTATGCAATTATTTTTAAGATGAAGAGGTGATTTAATGCTGAAGGTGAGAGGAGTTACACTTTCTCAAGTGTTACACAATGACCTTTTTTCAAAGTCCTCTTAAGTCATCACTAGAGAGTTGATGATGCTCTTACAAAACACTCAATTATTGATTTTTAAGCACTTTTAAGATTCTTGAGATGAAGCTTATATGCTTGTACAGTTTAGAGGATGCACCACAACTTATGCTTTGAAAAAGATGCCAGATATTTATGGTTGTATGTCACACATGAACTCCCAAGGAAGTACTCTTCTAGTTGAAGTGCAGTCAAATCAAAAGAATAGAAGAAAAGTGAAAAGCTTTAGCAATAATTAACAGTACCTAAAAACGTGAGCATTTAAAACCTGATAGACATAACAACATGAAGTAAAAATGGTACTTTCCTTCCATGTCATTTATTTTTTAAAATATTTCTCAAAATCCTTAGAAATTTTAATGGAAGACTCCTGAAACTCATCCATGGAGACAAATGTCAAAACAGAAGATGGTGTTTAGCCTGTGGCATACTGTGAATTACTTTTATTGTTATTGTTTTACTGGGGCAGGGATTTTTTTAGTTTTTTGGGGTTTTTTTTGTTTGTTTTTTTCTTTAGGGAACTTGGTATACAGCACTTCTACTGTATAATGAGGTTTTTGTGTGGAAGTCTCTATGAAGTAGTGGCATTTTTATATGCTTGAACCAATGTGGATTAAATTTCCCAAACAGGGAACACAATCTCATTCGCATGAATCGATAATAACATTTTCTTTCAAATTGTAGACATTTATTATGAGATTTGTATTTGTCTCTAGACTTCTAAATATGCTGGTAATGCAAAGCCCCTATTGATTTCAATATGGGTTGGGAGTTAGTTGTCCATCTTTAAGCATTTTTATATCTGTCAAAATTATAGTTTTAACTCTGAATAGGTTTTTTCCTTTCAAAAACATAAGGATTAAATCAGTTTGTCAATGAATTGTAAGAATGCATGCTCTAAACAAAACATGTTTTTTTCACAAGTATGTATCTAAATAAATTTCTCAAATAATTTACAAATACTTCTGAACTTCATTTTCAAACTAAAATTCAGAGACAATAGGCATATAAACTTAAATTCATTTATGTGTTTTGTGATGGAACTTCAAAAATCCATTATTTATGTACCACTATATGAGGTATACTTACTGAGGTGTAAGTACTGATTGTACTTACAATTTTCAATTTATTTTTGTACTAGCTTTCAGAAATATTTTACTAATTTTCTATTTCTTTATTAACAATCTGGTCCCTAAAAGAATTTTAAATAGATTTAGCTGTAGTTTTTGGTCACAGAAACTATAATCTGGTTTGGTTAGAACCTCATAGACAGGACTGAAATGGAATCATTTACTCAGGAATTTTTCTTTTATGAATAATGAGAATTTTAAAATTATGCTGATTGTTCTGCAGATTACTAAAAGGCACTATGAATGGACTAAATTTGAGTTTATTATTATTACTATTATTTTACTAAATATGTTACTTCTCTTACAAAATCTTTGAAGTCACAATTGTCAGTTTTCATCAATTAATTATTCTAAATGTTTTGTAGATATCTTCATGCATAATTATTTTCACATTGCATCTTTTTGGTAGAGGATGTTTTACACAATCTATGCAGGTTGAGTAGCAGGTGAATAACAAGGATAACTCAGGGACAGATGATGTGATTTCACGTGTACAGACAGAATGATCCATTTCATGTCCATATTTCTCAAAAACTGGATTTTTCTTCAGAGATTTCAGAGGAAAAACCAACCATAAGTGTGATTTTATGACTGAGAAATTTCCATCACAGGTTCTGATCTGTCTTGTTTCTTTGTAGCCTCTATTTTACAGTCTATTAACAGCCGTGGTAGTTTTGACTCTCGTGTGCTTTGGCATGAATGCTGGATACTGGGCAGGGAAACCTTCCAGATGAAAGAAGTTTGTCCTTTCCCATAAGCAAGTCACCAGGCATAATTATAATAATAAGGTTGGCAAAGCCTTCTGGGGTTCAGTATAGAGTAACTGAGGTTCTCACTTAAACAATATTGCTTATTCCAGATATCCCCATGTTTAAAAATATTAAGATTTTCATTTTCAAAGAAGAGAAATGAAAAGCACTCACTTCAATGAAAAGTTGAAGGAAGTTAGCCTTAAGATATTGGCAAAATTGGAATGACATTGTGCAGATAAATAAGACCATTTTGTCAGATTCCACTTTACAGCTGCCTGTGCTGTAAAAAAAAAATGTTCAACTGCTTAAGAATATTACTTTTTAAAAAAATAGAACATACTAAAACCTTTTTCCAGGTTCCTCTATTGAAAAAAAAAAAAAAGACAAAAAAAAAAACCACCCCAATATAGAAAACCAAAAACCCCCAAAACCCCCTGAATGTCTGTGTGGTGCTACCAAGAGTAGATATCTGTTCTTATGTTTGAACATGGCTGTGGCATTGAAGGGCAGAGGGAGGTATGCTACATAGCACCCTAATGGTTATTGTATTGTGCAACAAGGACAGTGTGTAATTCTGAGTAGCATTACTGAGCAAGGGTGACTTTCTTATAATCCTCCTACTTTTATGTCATCTGTCCCAGTAAATCACTCTCTAATGTGTATTAGAGATCCAAGAATTGAGTCTTGTTGAATCTGTGTGGTGTAGTCATTCAGCACCTACAGAAATGAGGAGCTGGCTGAAGTGAGGGGATTATAACTTAAAACAGTGGATGCTTGTTAAAATTCTCTATTATGCTCCATTGGCATTTCAAAAAAGAGAATGGATGGATTAAAAATGTGTGCTGATTGCTATACAGCTGGGACTTTTTAACAAAACGGCTGCATATTTGTGGTACTCCAAAGAACTAAACTATGTTCTCAGAGGCACTTAAACTGTGAATCTATGAAGACTCTTACTTGCAGGGATGAAGTCCCAACTTCTGTCCCTCAGTGTGCTGGATTATGTTTCTTGTGTGGGTGATGTTTCTGGGAACCATGGAAAAGTTCTGGAGTCTGGTTTGATATGGTCAGGAAGAATACAATGCACTCTGCTGCTTTCTGTCTCTTTGTTTCTTCACACACATTCTGTTCAG